CCCCCCCTCCTCTCTCTCAATCGCGGCCAAACTAGGGATATGTGACGAGTGTACGGCTAAAGGCGGGTAATGAATATCTTCCGTTGTGCGTGCGAGGCCGTGCTTTTGCTGACGGCCGGAGGCGAGAACGGTGGGGATCTATCTGCGAATCCGACAACAAAACAAAAAAAACATTACCTCACATGTGCGACCACAGCGGCAACACCCAGACGGCAACAACCGACAACCCTCAACTTGGATAAAACAACTGGTGGTGACGGGCTGGCAACACCAGCATTTTACCATGAATGAAAAAACAAGAAACGTGCGCAGCCACGCGAAAAATCAGGGACGATCCGACAACACACGCACGAAATAAATATGTAAAGAAAAAGGCCGAAAACGAACGGACGCGTGGTGACTGATGGTTGATGATTGGCGATTGGTGATTGGCGAACGATATGATGTGGCATTTGGTGATGATGGTTGATGATTGGTCATTGGTCCTTGGCGAGCGATAAGTGGTGAGGTGATTGATGATTGGCGTAGGAAGCGTACCCCGAGAGGGAGCACGGCCTCGGAAGCGACGATCATGAGCTCCTGGTGCATCTCGAACCACTCGAAACCGGCCCACTTCACCCTCTCCCCCTTGCGGTACCTGGCGCCAACGCGACGTTCGAAACACAAAACAACGGGCTTCATATCAGCAGTCAGACGACGTACAAGAGACAACGCGCGAACGACGCACAGTCGGCCTTTTGTTCAACATAAACAACAACCTGCTGGCAATATTGAGACAAACGTTTCGACCAACGAGCGGTCACACCATAGGCATTATTTACACAGCAACGCGAACAACACCACCAGCGACTGATTTTTAGACATCACGAGGAGTAAAACAAACACCTGACGTAGTAGATGCCTAGGGGTGCCAGCACCATCCAGGCGACAAGCATCAGGGCCCCGTGCAGGAGCACGAAGTCGTCGTCGTCGCACTCCGCCTCCACGTTGCCGGTGGCGAAGTTGACCGTGGCGGCCCCGCGGTTTCCGTTCGGGTGCTGCCCGATACCCTCCCCCTCGCGATAGGCGTATATGACCAGAGTGTCCACCGCGTCGTCGATGTCCTGTTGTTGGAGGCGCGGGCGATCTTACTTGTTTCGTTAAGTTGGCAGGCATTGACCCAAGGACGAAAGCGGTGCGAGGAGGCGCACAGGCTTTTCAACTGAGTAGGCAATGATGTAAGACGAGGCCGTTGCGAGAGGGGGCACATGGCCTCAAAAGTCTGTTGACAATTGACTCAAACGACGAACTGTTCCGAGAGGGGGCGCCTAGCCAACCTTATCGGCTGGAGCAGGACGCCGCGCCAGGGGGTACGAGAATTAGGCGAACAACGACCTATACTATCTACTAACGTAGTACAGTAGTAAGGAAGCGATGACAGGGTTAAGACATCACCACCACAAACAACAACATCAACAACGACGCACCGACCCCAGGTCGTAGTCCTCGTCATCGAACGCCCCTCGGTCTCGCAGGAAGGTGATGGACGTCCACCCGTCCTCCATGGAGACGTCGGTGATGTTGAGGGAGGTCTCGCCCGCGGCGTCCAGGGGGGGTGCCTCGCGCTCGGTCGTGTAAGCACGATCTGTGCAGGAAGCAGTGCTCTCGTCGGTGATCTCGCATATAATATAATCCTTCGAGGCAGGGGCGTGGAAGGAAGGGCGGGCGTGGGGTGTGGGTAAGCTTGGTCAGTTCGTAACGTGTGCTTAAGATTAGCCCTGTGTTGTCTACCGTTGATCGACTTGTTTTCGCAGGAAAACGTTTACCGGAGACAAGCTTACGGGGTCAGCATTTTACCAGGAACACCAGAAACAGGCAGGGTGTAGACGTTTACCTTGTCCGACCCTTCCTCCTTACCTGGGCCAGTTCCATCGTCAGCCCTCCCCACCCTACCCCCATCCACCCCGACGTCCCGAGATCCTTGCATCGAAACGTGATGGCCATCTGGTCGTCCTCCAGTTCCTGCCGATGGTCCACGTTGAAAAACATCACAGCAAGGTCAAAAAAGAAACATCTCAAAAAAAGCGCGTGGAACCTTTGACGTGGTGCGCTAAGATGAAACGCAAGCGGTGTGCAAGCGCGCACCCTTTTGTCTGGGGAGCAAAAAAACAAATTTCTTGGGGACGATGCGCTAGAAAAAGAAAACCCGTGCCAAAAAAAACAACGCAGCCTTGCAAAACATTTACCATGCCTATCTCGTAGTCTACGACGAACTGACCTCCCACTCGAGCTCGAAGTTGTCCGACAATACGGCGACGCCATCTCCGTCTCCGGCGCACCCTCCGTCGCACACGGTGATGCTGGGCGCCTTTGGAAATGACGAGGTGCACGAGAAGGAAGAAGAAGACGCACGAGAAGGACAAGAAGAAAACAGATTTGAACAAAGTAGTCCACAAAAAAGGATGAGATCTTCCATGCGTCAAAGATTCTAGCACAACAGATAAGAGGAAGCTCGGAAAGACATGGGCCTGCAACACAAGTGCGAACGAACGGCCGAACGAGTCACCAGCATCTACTTTTGACACTCAGGTACGGGGGCTGCCTACTCTTTACGTTTGGTGGAACTCAAACAAACGATTGATGGGATGGACACAAAGAGATGCACACAGGCCGAACCAAATCGAACTTGCATGCACACCTGAAACACGGAGAGCGGTAGGTCCGTGGCGTTCGTGACGCGGCCGATGACATCCATGAGCGTCGTGTTGGCCACGTTCTCCATGTTACGGACGTGCAGGTGATAGAACCTGGGTTTCGCGACGTGCGCAAGAAAAATCGCGGCGCGGAACGGCGGCGTTGACATGGTACATGGCAACGATAAGCCCAGCGGGGTTGTGGACGACAACGGCCAGATTCGTGACAAGAGGGAGAAGGAAGAAAAAAAAGCGGCGGTAAGCACAGCGGTGAAATGGCCGAAAGCCTCGCGAGGAGTGCAATACCGTTTAGGGAGACTGCTGTATTACCGTGGTATTGGTTTACAGTCACGGTATGCATCATGCACCAGTACCGTGGAAAGTTCACACTGAACACAGGAGAAGGGTCGGGATCACACAGGGGCTCCCGTGCGGCATTCGCGCCTTGTTACAGAAGGAGATGCAAGGCCACAAAACACTCTCTTAAAACCCAAAATAAACCCCGTTTTCTCTTCAAACGTATTATACTGCTATCCAACTAGTACTCCTAATGGGCGGGACAAGTCACCTCTTATCTCTACAAACACCCGCACATCTCCTCTCAACGAATAATGTATTTCCGTTTATTAACCGTAGCCGCTCCCAATGCCTCTGCTGCAAATAAATAACAGCCACCAACACCGCCACAGCCGCAAAAACCAACCAACCTGTCCCCCGCGATGGAGCGGGTGAGCTGGTCCGACCACGCCGCGACGAGGAGGTCCCCCAGCACGCCCCCCGTGCTCGAGTCCGTCCCCTCGGCCAGCGCCCCCGTAAAGGCGTCGAGGCCGTCGATGTCCCCGCCGTACGCGTCGGACAGGCGCGAGGCCAGGTCGGCGTCGTCTGAGACGTCCTCGAACGTCGTCGCCGGGTCCAGGCCGTACGCCTTCCCGCGAAAAACGAAATGCCAATAAGCAACGACGACGTTCAGCAGCAGCAGCAGCAGCAGCCGTGGATGGAACGCCAACGACCCGGGGGGGGTAGGTAACTCCATGTAACCCCGAGTGTTCCGGTTCATTGTCTGGATGAACCTGGCTTGACCACAAGTAGCATGAGAGTCTTCTGGAACCCCTACTGGCTACTGCTGGAAGGCTTAAGAGTCTCATGGCCCGAACTGCCACTACAACTGGCAGCATGGCAGTCTCCTGGACCCAACTATTACTCGCAGCACGGGAGCACCTATCTCCTATATCCTACTGACACCCGAACCCCCCTGACCACGTGTCTATCTCATCGTCACCTCTCGGGCAGCGTTGTACGAGGGCAGCCCGTGGTCCCGCCCCCTCTGGACGCCGTCGACCGGGAGCTTGAACAGCGGGGACAGGTTGGACACCACGGGGGAGTAGTAGGCGTCCACGGTCAGGGCCGGCGAGAGCACGGCGCCGCGAAGGACGTCGGCGACATCGTTTCTCGCGAAGATCCCGGCCATGTCGGCGCTCGCGACATTCAGCTCGACATTATCGTCGTCGGTTGAGACATACCTGGGGGGGGGGGGGGGGGGGGGT